TAAGTGGTATCCAGGAAATTCTGAAAGACCCCTTCACATTTCCAATTTTCATCATTAAAAATACTGGCAGAGTTACGTATGTCAGATCAACCCTTTTGCTCATAACAATTTTAAACTCTAAACAGAAAGTCACCAAAAGCAGCCAGAAACTGGAAGGGATAGAAGCCTCAGAAAAGGGAAGCAAGCTATATGCAACCCTAATTTACAGTTTTCCCCCTGAAGGCACTCCAGTTCAAGCAGCAGAAGAGGAACAGAGTGCAAACAGAAAATGGAAGTCTTACTGAGCTAGTCAGGATATCTGGAGCTGTCACAGCAGCTAGAATTTGAGGTAGAGAAATCCTAGAAAAGACAGAACCACAAGGGGAGAAGCAATTCTGTTCAAATCCTGAGATTACTCCTGCCTGTGCATCAATAAAATAAGATCAGAAACCCAAGAGAAAGCAAGAGTTGGATGGCTGAAAAGACTGCGCAGAAGGCTCCTGGTACGGGGGAAACAGAACAAAATGTTTTGAATTCAAGTCCTGCCAAATTAGAGGGGCTCAGTAAACACTCAAGAGCTTGGTAGACACCTAATGCTTTCCACTGAAGGTCACATCTTGAACATAAGAATCATATCCTAGGACTGAGATTTATATTGTAGGACTAAGGGCAAAACAGAAGTACACCCACCCTAACAAATCCTAAAACCAAGCATCCACAGGAACAAGATGATCTGCCAGTAATGTAGCTACCTACTAGGACAAAACTGAGCATTCTCTAGTGGAAAGCAAACTTTGAAATGAATCACCCACAATGTTCAGTAAATAATTAAAAACTATTATACATGTAAAGTAAAGGAAAATGGTACCCATGGTCAAGAGAAAGAGCAATTGATAGGAATACACGCTCAGACAATCCAGATGTTAAGGACTGACAGACAAGAACTTTAAATATAAGAAATATGCTCTTAAAATGCGCATTTTGTGCATTATACAAGCTATAACCCCATCTATTCTCAACAGCAATAAGCTTGAGTGGCTCACGATTTTTAATCAAATTGGGATTTGGAGTGGTTTATATTTGAAAGCCTGAAGCAAACAACTTGAAAGTGATTAATGACATCAAACTTAATTATATATTTACACCTCCCAGTAGGACAAGGGGAAGAATAAAATGTCTTATCTCTCTGTAGTGAGAGGGTTTTATTAAGGTCTGACAGCAGCTATTTAGCCGCAATAATTGAGTTATATGCAAGATTACACAAGTTCTTCTTGCCTGGCATCAAAATCTAGTCACAGACTGATAGGGTAGTTAGGCTTCTAAAAGTGAGGAAAAACAGTTGAGCTGAGTACAAAACTAATCTCTAAAAGTACTTATCCTTATCTGTCAATGTGATCTTATCAAGGATTTTTATAATTTCTATAAACAATCATTATATTTTAGCTGAATCAGTAGCATTATGCTCTTTAAACAGAAGTCAGATACCTTCTACTTAAAACATTTTCCACCAATTCCTACCCCCCCATAAAAGGAATTTGGCTTCAATTTTCTTTTCTTAATCCATGAAGTGATCTCATGAATAAAAACATAATCACATGCCCTGCATGCCTGATGTAATTTTCATAAACCTTCTAAGTGTTTTAATATTTAGTTACTATTTTGTGAAAATAATATTTACTGAACAAGCTGGATTACCTTCTTTCCCCAGGGAAAAAAAGCAAGGTTGGTAAAAATATACCAAAAGGTCTGCTAAATACATATTACTTTTGCTTAACATTTTGCTTAAAATTCTGTGGAGGCTGGCACAACCACAGGAATGTAGGAATGATTGATTTAGTCTCCTTGATATTATTCTTGCTTTGTCACTCACAGATGCAAATATTACTTTTACTGAGGTAGAGAAACACTCTCTAAAAAGAGAACAAAACAAGTTTTGTTTTTCATCTTGGTCTCTCAAAAGGACAACCTCATCAATTATTTTCTTACTCTCCCTTTCTCAAGAAGCTTTTTTTCCTCACAACAGAGCTGGAAGACATCTGGAGGACATACCCAGAACTATATCCAAAAACATCCTATCTTGTCAACAATTAACAAGTATCCAGGGACAGACTTTAGGCAGCTTTATTTTCATCAGCCAAGTTTCCTGCCCCCAGCAGAGTTTCTCTGAGAAACTGAGGGCCACTTTGTCTCCCCAACCGAGGCTGGGGAGTTTGAGATTCACAATCTCCAAATCTGCCTTCCAGAAGTGACCCTTAGTGTCCTCTCCTCGCAAGTACTCAGACATTAATCTCCCCTAGAAACCTTCTTTCCCTGCGTCAGAACAAAAATACATAGGCCAACACTTAGAACCTGTTTGAAATTCTGCCTACATAAGTAACAAGTTGAATTATCTCCCATATAAAACGAACTTTCCTCTCTGTATGGCATGATGATCCTAAATGCTAGGAGAAGCAAATAAAATTCTCTAAAGAGGGAACCAGTGTCTTCTTATTTATGGTAAATAAATTAAGAGACATATGAATGATGATATCTACTTGGCACCTTTTAGTTTAAGGAACACATTGTTGAGCAAAGCTACACCAGGCACTCTACTAGGTATTAATGATACAAAAATGCATTAGACCAGGACCACATAATCCAGTGGGAGAAAGAAACATACTAATAAGTGATCATAATGCAATAAGTGATCATAATGAGTTAACTACCTCAGAGAGCTGAATAATAAAGCAAGCAACTGAGGTACCAGATGCCACAAAGAGACAAACAAGATTTTAGTGTATGAAGATTTATTAAGTATATTAAGTGTATTAAGACTAAACAAGATTTCAAAGGTATTAAGTTCCCTCTCTTATTATCTCCAGTTGTATTTCCATTCTCAGAAGAGAAAGCAGCACGTTTCTCCTCCCGCCCAGCTAGAAAAACTAAGTGAGCAGCCCATAACCAGTTGCATGAAAACTTTCATCTCCAATGTTATCTTTATTCCAATCCAAACAACCTATTGTTAAGCTTTACTGTCATCACAGCTTAAAATATTTTCACTTTGGTGAAGAAAATTGTCTCTGACTTGGAAAAAATCTTGCTCATAACATGAAAAAACTTAAATCCTGGTGTCAAAATGGATTTGACTGGAAAAAATTTCATAATTATATTTCTGGTATTCAATTAAATATTCACAGAAGAAATAAAAATGTCTTGGATAAACTCACTTAACACATTTGTCAAGCAAGTACCTCTACCAAAGCAAAGAAAAACTACATCCCATAAAATTGAAGAAAAAGGAAAGATATTTCAAAGTATGGGAAATCTTATTTCCCATTTTCCAGAAATTAAAAATAATGAATACATGTTTGTAGCAAAAATTTTCAATTGAGGAAGAAGAGATAAACTGTCCACAGGAAGCCTAGAGAAGCTGTTTATGAAATTATTTCATAGCCTTCCTCAAACAAACAAAAAGTCTAGCTATACTGGTTGTTTGGAGGAAAAAAAACGCTCTGAGTCAAGAACTAGCCTACATTTCCCACTCCTATCCTTTGTCCTTACGCTTTTAATCCCATATAATGATACACACCAACTGCCCCACTCCCCATATGTGTACCTGTGCCTCTTTCACTGTCTCACTCTCAGAATTGGATTTTTTACACTAGAAGATGGCAAGTCACCTATACTGAACAGAATTAAAGGTGATAACTATTTTGTTTGACTTACAAGAAGGATGACAGCTAAAATGTTGGGAGGCGATTAAAGACTATGCTTTAATCTAAAAAATTCAAGAGAATGTATACAATACATAGTAACTAGCAACTCACTAAAAAGTGGTGTTTTTTTTGAGTCAGAGTCCTACTCCTTTGCCCAGGCTGTAGTGCAGTGGCACGCACGCTCACGGCCACCCCAGTGTTGACCTTCTGGGCTCCAGAGATCCTTTAGCCTCAGCCTTCCGAGTAGCTGGAGCTACAGACGCGTGCTACCACGCCCGGCTATTTTAATTTTATTGTAGAGATAGGTCTCGCCAAGTTGCCCAGGTGGGTCTCGAACCCACAGGCTCAGGCAAGACCTATCTCTACAATAAAATTAATCCACTTGCCTCAGCCTCCTGAAGTGCTGGGATGACAGGCTGAGCCACCGAGGCCAAAACGTATTGTTAATAATGAAATAGATGAGCTGGGCTCGGTGGCTCAGCCTGTAATCCCGCGCCTTTGGAAGGCTGAGGTGAATGGATTGCCTGAGCCCACGGGTT